GCAGCAGGCGCTTGTTTAGACGGTATTGGTCTTTAGTGGCCTGGGGAGTGGACGTGCACACACACACACAGAGCATTCTACACACGCAACATGGGCAGTACACAGGAGATACACTCATGCTACATCCCCTGTGCATTTTGATATTCTTATTCATTGGTTAATTGTCATCATAAGTCACCATTCAGAACCTCTTTCTCTCCACCAAAGTCAAGATTTAAAAGCAAAGGGGGAGGATTGACTTTCTCCGAGAGTTTTTGTAGTTTTCAGACAATACGGGCATGTGTGTCTACATTTTATTCCATTGTTTTTCTCTGACAAAGCTGTTGCTGCCTCCAAGTGACAGCAGGCGGAGGGTTTCCTGAAAAGCGTAATGGAAAAGCTGGGATTACTGGTCTGCTCTCACACAGACTGTTCAGCAGGAATGCCCCATCCCAGCCACGACCCCCAGACCTGTGCATGAGAGACCCGGCACAGGTTCTAAATATCAGAACCAGCGAATGGAAGACAAGCGCCCAGGGTGGGGCCGGCCCCTGCGTTTTTCTCGCAGCACGGAGCTGTGGTAAACCATGGTGTTCATATTGTTTTTGCTGAAGTCGGCCCTGGGTGTGGTTTCGGTGCACCGCTTGGGTAACTGTCGAAACTGCTGTGGTTTCAAAATAAGACCCATTTAAAGCCTTTTCTTCAATCTTGAATTGCTGCCCCCCTGCCACTGAACCCCCCTCCACGTGCCCTCCAGGATGATTGCAGGGTGCAGTTCACTAGCGTCAGTGTGCACATGGCATTCGGGAAGGGGGTCTTTATTTGGTTCCTCTTGATTCCATGGTGGGTCACGTTTCTCACACTCCCGATATAGATCGAGGAACAAGGCTACTAAGCCGTAAGCAAAACCGTATTTTGGTGTGTTTATATAGTGATTTTTTTTCGTTTATTTTTAATGCTGTTTGTTCCATCCTTCAAAACACCTCTTCATCCTCTTTCTGGTACCCGGGCTTGCAGAAAAGCATGTAGCCCTGCCCTAGGGAGTCTCTGAGGAGTGTTAATGAATACAGCAGGACTGGTAGCTAAAAGCATGTAGCCCTGCCCTAGGGAGTCTCTGATAGTGTTAATAATTACAGCAGGATTGGTAGCTGGAAGGTTGGCTTTTTGAATCCACCCAGAGGTGCTGCAGAAGTTAGGCCTGGCGATCTGCTTTTAAAAGGGCACAGCTACTGAAAACCCCATGAGGTGCATGGGGGGGTGGTCTTCAAGAATTGGAGTCAACTCCCTGGCAACCAGCAACCCCCACCTGACCCCGGAGATCTGTGGCCATGATGCTGCTCTAGGGCACGGAGGTAGGCAGAGTTCCTCTGCGACTTTACAGATAAGCTGCCCCTCAGAAAATCGGAAAAGCGATTCAGGAGTTAGCAGAAGTGGTTACATAAAAGCAGGAACTAGACCTAGGGTGTTTGAAAAGCACAGCCGCTAAAAATAAATGGGTGTGCAGGGTGGGTAATCGGGACCCATGGCCTTGCTCTTCTCTGCAGAAAACCCCGATGGCACGGGCTGCCCAGAGCTGGCTGGGAGCCCACCAGCTGCCACCACGCACATGCTAAGTCCACCCGAATTAACACTCGCAAACACACTACCGAGAGAGACCGTTTTTTTCTCCGAAAACCGGGTGCGGGCGTTGCTGTGCCCCGGTTTCGTATGAACACAGTCATGATTTCTAAACAACAGCGGTTTCGGCAACAGCAAAGCAGAGAGCAATGTAACCATTGCTGAGAAAATACTCGTGCAGCAGAAATGACAAGAGGACTAGGTCCCATCCCCCCAGAAAACAACTCAAAACCTTTCTCCCCTAATCTGGAGAAAGGCGTTCCTGGGTGGCACAAGCCATTCAACGCCTGACTACTAGCTGAAAGGTTGGCAGGTCACACTCTCCCAGAGAGGCACCTCGGGAGTGGGAGACAGACCGTGGACATGCCGTGCAGCATTGTTCTGCTCGGTCCCGCTTGGGGCTCCACAAGGCGGAATTGACTTCACCAGCAAGTCACAGCAGCCACAGCCCCAGGGAGGATGACCATCTCCACAGCGAAGGACGCGATTTACTGACTGTGCTGGGGCTGGAGTAGGGGTCCGATTTGGGGTGGGCCTCCTTTTACTTGAGTGTGGCACAGTTTACACTTGGCTACTGACTGAACATTTGGTGGTTCTAACCCACTGACAGGTGCCAAGGAAGAAAAGCCTGGCAGTTAGCATACGGAAAGACCAGAGCCATGAAAATGCTACGGAGCAGTTCTGCTTTAACACATGGGGTCACCATGAGTCAGTATCGAGAGCAACAGGTTTGGGGTTTCAGTTTTCCCTTTGTCCAGATGTGCACAGCTGTCCCTCTGCCCTCAGTAAGCAGACTGTGCAAACACCACCCCAGTCGCACATGTGGAGACCCCTGTGGATCCAAGGACTGCACCTGGCCCCTGCTCCCTGGCCTTCAGCCTGGCCAAAGGCAGCTCTAATTTCTGTCTCCACTGAGTTTGGCCACGTGGCCCATCTTCATTGTTCTGGCTGTCGAGGGAAAGCCAACTGGCGTTTAGTTGCCCTGGACTGAACTCCGACTCATGTTGGACCCATGTGTTACAGGGTAACGGACTATAAATTTTACAGAATCAGATCTCTAGGCCTTCCAAGGGAGTCACTGGGTGGGCTTGAACCACCAACTTTTTGGTTAGCAGCTGAGCGTGTAACTGTTTGTGTTCCCCGGGGACCCAGTGACTACCGCACCCTCCTTCCAGTAAGGGCAGCAGGACCCCGTTTTGGTCCCTGGAGTTGTGTCCACGAGAACCCCCAGGCCATGGTCTTTGCAGCCTGCTGACACTGGCCATGCTGGGCCTGTGGACTGAATGGGTGAACGAGTGCTGGAAGGAGCACTCCCCGCCCCCCCCCCAGTGTAGACCCCCAAGCTGTGCAGCAGCACTCGTGGCAGGAACTGGAGTTCAGGCTGGGTACTGTGTCATGGGCCTCTGGCTTCGGGCTGTTAGTAGGAATCTCTGTTGGAATGTTTGGAGGCCAGGCCAGCACCTTGAGAGAGGACATTGCCTGAGTGTCTCATCAGGCAAGATCTGTTTTGGGAGGCAGGCAGGGATGTGAAGAGTACCGGAGCCATTCCAGAAACCTGGAGCAGTGGGAGGGGAGGCATGAGGACCACCAGTGTCTGGCTCCTCACCTAAGGCCCTGAGTTAGCGTTGATGGCTGTGGTTGAGGACCCCTTGCCTCTGGGATCTCGCCCTGGTGGGTCCCACCCGTTGAGGGTCTGAGCCTAGGGGCTGGCAGAGTGAATAAGAGACCAGCGTGAATAATTCTGGTTCTGTGGGCTGTTCCAACCTGTCAGCTTTCCTTAGTGGCTGGGTGCTGACAAAACTTGGTTTATAGACACACACTCCCCTAGTGGGACCAGATGCCGGATGGGTGCAGAGCAGTGTTTTGGGTGCATAGGCCATACTTTCCTACCTCCCTGGGCTCTGTCTCGCAGCAGACTCCCCCAAGGAGCTGAATTCAGGGACGTTCAGAGGGAGTCATGTAGGGTAGTGTTTGAGTTGGCATGAGGCTTGGAGGAACGCAGACATGGGTTGTTAGAGAGGAGGCTTGGCAGTACCCAAAGAGTTCTCTGAAGTTCAGCTCGGGGATGAGGCCAGGGCAAATGAACCTCACCCCACCCAACTGGGCTGCAGGTCTGGTGAGAGAAGGAGAGAGTTCAAAGGCATTGGTGGCGGGGGTGGGGTGGTGTGGGGAGGGGGCATCTCAGCAAGCAATGGGGTGGGATAGCCTCTGTAAGCTCGTTTGTCCAAGCTGAGCAAGCCAGGTGGATGGGGGCGGGGGGACCATCAGGGTCCAGCCTCTGACAGGTGCTGTAGAAAATAGGCCTGGCTTTCTGCTTCCAAAAGATCCATCAGCCATCAAGAACCATACAGAGCACCGTTCTACTTTTATACACATGGGGTCATGATGGCATGGAGTTCACTCTAGTCCAACTGGTTTTCCTGGTGTGGCCCCCAGAAGCAAAGTCAGAGTGGTCATTGTGCAGGGAGGAGCTGTCTCAGGCTTGTGTTGGGTGTTACAGCTCCTAGGCTGGCTCCAGTATGGTGTAGGTCAGCCATGTGGAAGGTCCTGGCAGCCGTGTACTTGCCAGATGGAGGGGGACACCAGGCCAGGGCAGAGCCAGCAGTGAGTCTGAATCACCAGCCTTATGGTTGGTAGTCCAGGGCTTATCCTACAACTCCACCGAGGCTCCTGCGGCTTGGCAAAGAGCCCTACCCTCTCACCATCCTGCTGTCATTCAGTCAATTCTGACTCACAGCGAACCTCTGTGCTGCAGGCTCGAACTGAGCTCTCTAGGGAGTTCCAGGCTGTCATCCTATGGAAGCACATCACCAGGCCTGCCTCAGGGTAGGTTCGGACTGCTAATGTGTAGGTTAGTAGTCCAGTACAGACTGTTTGTCCCACCGAGGAACCTTGGGGAAACCTTGGCCCCTTGAGTTGCCAAGCAGTAGCCAAAGTAGACTGTAAACCTCAGGACATCCAAGTGGTGCACTGATTGACACACTCACAGTGTCCCAAGTCCTGAAGCTAGCCCCCCCAGACCCCCTTCTTTTTTAACTGCTGGTAGCTCGCTGTTCATTTTCTGCTCGGCCATAGCATTTGTAACCCTTTTTGATGATGACTGTCTTGAACCGTAAAACGCATCACTCAGAAGCACGCCTGCTCACAGACTCCTTCTAGTCCTCACCGCTGGAGTGGGGGCCAGAGCGCTCCTCTGTGTTAGCCTTGAGGTAAAACTAGGGAATACTGGCTCAAGGTGTCCCACCAACTGCCCCCAACTCTTCCCAAAGAAGGTTAGCGGTTTCCTGTGAGCCCCAGTGTGGGTGGCTCGGCCCTGTCTTGTCCATGGTGAGTAACCTGTCTCTCTCTTTCTTTTTTCTTTCTTTCTTTCTTTCTTTTTCCTCTTTTTCTCCTAAACCTTCCAGGTCACAGTACGCCCGTAAGCCAGCTCGGCCCGGCTGACCTTCCTGAGCCCCCAGACCCCTTCCAGGCACTTGGGGCTGACAGCAGTGACCCGTTCCAAAGTAAAAAGGGGTTTGGGGACCCATTTAGTGGAAAAGACCCCTTTGCTCCCTCCTCTGCGGCTAAGCCTTCTAAAGACTCCTCCTTGGGGCTTGCAGACTTCACCTCTGTAAGTTAAGCTCCCCGCCGCCACTGCTGCGCCGCTCCCACCCTCCGCTTGCAGCCACTTGGGGTTCCTTCTGTCCCCTTCAGACACACAGAGCTGGCTGCTGTCCCTGGGTACTGCCCGTGCCGCCCACCCACATTATTTATTCTGTACCTCCGCTTCTGTAAGCAAATGCTTCTCAATAAACAAGAGCTTCGGTTTTGGATACTGTGAGAAGGGCGCGTTTTCTTCCAGCAGGGCGGGCTCGGTGCTGGCTGACTGCGTGCTCTTTCTGGTGGACTCTGGTATCTGTGGTGCACGAGGCAGTTTTATTCTTTGGTTTGGGGCAAGTCTGGATGTCAGCTGTTTCAGCATGCAGACAAGACTGCAAGCATGACACTAGGGTTTTGTTGGCCCCAGGCATAAAGTCCCTTTGTGTCAGAGGCTGAAGGTCTTGTCCTGTGCATTTTGCATGAATTATGAGGACTCAAACCCATTGCAAAAATGGTTAAGCACTCGACTACAAGACAAAGAAAGGGTTGACAGTTGAAACCCCACCCCAAGGTGCCTTTGGATAAAGGCTTGGCATCATGCTTCCAGAAGGTTACAGTCTTGAGAACCCTTTGGAGCAGTCCTACCCTGCACATATGGGATCACCAGGGGTCGGCACGGACTTGGTGGCAGTCCACAGCAACAACAGGGCCATGCACAAACAATTTGATAATTTTTTTATGTCCGCTATGACCAACACAAACACAAGAAAGGCAGCCTAGAGCCAGCAGCCTGAAGCCCTTTTCTTTGCTGAAAGTCATTTTGCAAAGCAGAGTGCTTTTTTTCTCTCTCTCAGAAGCTAATACAGGATTCTGAGAGTCTGGCTGTGTTTCTATGTGTGAGAAACGGGATTTGAGAGATGGTGCATAACCGTTGCTGGGTGTGTGTCAGTGCTTTGCTCGGTTCACAGGACCTCCTCCTTAGAGCCTCAGATGTTGTTGTCATCCCCTCAGAACAGGTTTCACTGTCTGTGTGCAGCCATTTGTTTAAAGGACTCTCCATTTGAGTTCACAGCGTACCACGCTGCAGCGTTGGGTGTGAGAGTTATTATTTATAGGCATTTCGGCTCCCAGAATATCTCTGTTTTGAAGTGAGCTTTGCAGTATCAGTGTAGAGTAAACACCCGCTTCTGTCCAGAGCCTTGTCGGTGAATATTGGCCATGCACAGGTACCTTGTGGCTGATTTTCAAATTTCCTTTGTTCCTGAGACACTCAGGACTAGAGTGAGTTGGATGTGATTGACCTTAGAATCTGCATACAATGGGAAGACATGAAATCCACCTTACCCAGAGTTTTTGTGACTAATGCTCCGTGTGTGTTAAGGTTGGAAAAACGTTAAATGCTGGTGAAGAAGCTTGAGACTGTCACGCACAACTCGCATGCCTTGTGCCCGGGGTGGCAAGCGAAGTTGGACAGCAGTGTGAAGAAATGATTGTTCTGTTTCTAAAGAGCACAGTTACGTTTCCTGTGACACTTCCCCACCCCCCTCCCCCGCCTCCCCCATCAGCTTGCTTTTAGAAAAAGAAAAAAAAAATTTTTTTTTTTTTTTTTTATACTCAAGTTTCCAAGCTTTCACTTGGTCTAACTTTTCTTTGGTTGACCTGTCTCAGGCACTATGAGCTTCAGCCTGTCTGCATGCTCTCCCATTTCCCCCACCCCGAGTAGTAAATGTCATTCCCCCTAAACCACTACCATCCCATCCATTCTGACTCATTGTGACCACACCGCACAGAGTTCAACTGCTCCTTGGGGCTTTGAGACTAAATCTTTTGGGGAGCAGATAGCCTCATCTGTCTCCCTGGGAGAAGCTGGTGGGTTTGAACCACCAACCGTGCACACAACACACTACATCACCAGGACTCCTTTCATCATCCTGGGTGGATCAGATCATCAAATCAGTCAGCCAATTCTGCCCCACTGAGGTAGCCAGCCTTGCTTTTTACTGTCTGAAGTTGCCTACTCTACTCGAAATGCCCAGGTTTCTACAAAAAAATCATGAACTGGTGAGAGTCTGGCGACTCCATGTGTCAGTAAACCTAAGCTCCACAGGGTTATCAATAACATTTTAAAGAAGTTGGCAGTCAAGCACATTCACCAGTGCAGCTCAGGGACTCTGACCAGGCGTTGTCAGGTTGTCTCCAGCTCACAGCGACCCTGTGTGTCTGAACTGTGCTCCAAAAGAGTTTCAGGGGCTGATTTTTCAGAGGTAAATCACCAGACCTTTCTTCCGAGGTACCTCTAGGTAGACTTGAACCTTTTGGTTAGCGGCTGATCACATTAACAGTATGCGCCATTCAGGGACTCCCCTCACCTATACCGTCAAGCTGAAAACATGCAAAACGGTCCCCTCTCAGGGACTTGGGATGCCTTCTGAGTAGCCTGGTGCTGGGACTTGGTGAACACTGAGATCTCTACTACCTTGGAGAGGTCTAAGCTGGTTCCTTAGATCTGGGTAGTTCAACCCCTGTAAAGCCTGAGAGCTCTCCCACCTCAGCCAGCGTGGGGCTTGCAGATTCCATGTTTCTGAGTACATTCAGGATGCCTTGCTATTTGTCCAGAAGTTGTGGGTTTGTGGTGAATTCAGGGAAGCCGGCCTCGTCACCCGAGCTGGTCTAAGCCCCTGTCGCTTGGACCCTCTAATTGAGGAACCCGAGCATCCATCGTGGGCTGTTTGTGCCAGTGATTGATTCCTCAGCCTTGTGTTCACCGGGAGGGCATGTATCCAGGTGAGAGGAGCAACAGTGTTGCACGTCCGCATCTAGGGCAGGAGGGTCCCTAGGCCTATGTGGCGCCGTCTTAACTGAGGGAAGCTGGGCGCAGTTTCTAAGTCAGGATAAGTGAACTTGCTGGATTCGGCTAAAAGGATCTCTTGTACCGCCTCTGTGGTCACACCATGAGCCGCAGCAGCACCAGGTCTGCCTGCAGAGGATGGCTGGTGGGACCTCAGAGGAAGCACCAAGCTCCCCACTGCACTGCCCCAGGCCTGGCAAAGCCACCACAGGCAGGTCTGAGAGCTTGAAGGTGGTTGTGACCGTGTGTCCCCAAGGCTAGAGTCATATTCTCTTCAATTTCAGTGCAGTAAGAGTAGAAAGCCCCTATCTTGAGATTTCCTCTGGACCCCCAGTGGAACTTGACACTAATGTATGTGTAGACCCCGTGTGAAAGTTGGGGCAGGCATTTATTTGGGCTGTGGTGAGTTTACTCAGGCATCTCGGTTCCTTGGGCAAGAGGCTGGTTTGGGGACAGTGTGAGCTCGTTCTGGACCATCCTTCCAGGAGCCCCCTTCTGTCCCTGTTGGCTTTGGCTGGGGTAGAAACAACCACCACTGGGGGGCCAGCTTCCGGGTCTGGCCCAGAGCCCAGCAAGCCCCCCCCCCCCTCCCGTGCATCTGAGCCAACCGCTGTGGAGCAAGGGTCCTGAGACATCCAAACCAGGTGGGGGGGGGGGCGGTCCTGGACTCTGCCTCCACCTGCTCTCCCCTTTCCCCTCTGCTCCTTCTCCTGGCTGCCAAATCCATCCCATCCCCCCTCCCTATTCACTCCCAGTCTCCCCTCCACCTCCATCTCTCCTCTTCCCCTCCTCCAACCAGGGAGAATGCCCTGAGTGGCATGTACACGCTGCAGGCCAAATCCTCTCCTCAGGCCCCTTGGGGTCCCTGGGTCCCCAGTTGGAGGCCTATCTCTGTGTTTCCTTCTGGGTGACTCAGGAACCCATACTGCGGAAATGCTGCGGGGGGGTGGGGGGGTGGTTCTGTGTGTCTGTCTGTTCTTTGGCGTCTGTGGAAGGGCCGGCTTCCCTGTCTTTGTCAGAATCAGTGCATGGGTTCACGTGCTGCTGGTGGAGGGAGGCCCTGCCCTCTAACAGCCTTCCCATCCCCATGTGGTGCTGGGACTATTATGTACCTTTTAGGGAAGGTCTGTAAGGTTTGCTCTGCTCTACAAAGTATTAATTCAGGCATTCTAGAAAGTTCCTCAAGAATGAAACAATCCCCTTGACCCAGAGATGGTGTGACTGCTGGGTCCCCTGTGATTGTCCAAGGGCAGGTGACTCCTCAAGGGAACCCGCAGAGCCCCCCTTAGTGAGTCAGGCCATGCCACGCCACCACAGGGTCTGGCTGTCCTTGTACTGTGCTCTGGAGTCCTCGGCATGTTAGATGCTCTTATGAGCCCATTAGAACTTTCCAGACCAGCTGCTTCACCTTGCCACCTGCACTGCTGCTGAGTCGGGGTTGTGGCTCCGCCGTTCAAGCCCTGGGCTCAGCTGAGCGCTTTCTAGGTCTTGACTCACCACAGTCACCCTCCCCCTTACATCCCCACCAGCGTTACACGTCTGGCCTCTTGGAAATTACTGGGACTTTCTGTATTTCCTGAGCCCATGCACTGCCTCCTTGGGGTCTCTACAAGAATGTGGCTTCTCAGTTGTCTGGGGCCTGAGGCGGTGGTCACAACTGGCCCTGCTCTTTGCCCAGGTTCTCTCCCTGTGGGTAGGGGTGGGGGCCATATGTCTGTGCCAACAAATCACACTGGAGCCCACCAGGAGATGGACTTCCCGTCCAGCCCCTGGCCTGACCCACACTGCAACCCCACCGGGTCCCACTAGTGCCCAGACCCTCCATGCATCTGACCTGCTTCCCAAGCTTGGCAGGTCCCTGGCCTGCCCTTACCCCTCCATACCATCAGCCCTGAACCTGATGGCTGCAGCCCCAGGCAGGCTAACAGAGCTTTGTGTTTCCCTTGCAGTTTGGCAATGAGGAGCAGCAGCTGGCCTGGGCCAAGCGGGAGAGTGAGAAGGCGGAGCAGGAGCGGCTGGCGCGGCTGCGGCGGCAGGAGCAAGAGGACCTGGAGCTGGCCATTGCCCTCAGCAAGGCTGACATGCCAGCTGCCTAGGCTGTGTGGGTGGGCACAGTGGGCTTGCAGAGGCGGGTGCACAGGCGTACATGCGTGTACGCACGGCACGGGCACACGTCGGAGACCCTCGGGGCA